GTCCCCTATGGCTGTCTATAGCCTCTTTCTAAAGAGACCCATAGACTCTATGGGTGTCTTTAGAAAGGACGCTATAGCCACCTACGGCTTTTGCTTTGGTTCCTTTAGCCGTCTATACCTTCTTGTATGGTCTGCTATAGAGATCTGTATGGCTTACGCTATGGATCTATGGTCGGCTATAGAAAATCCTTTGTATGGCTGGCTATAGAAAATTGGCCCAATTAGCTATAGCCACCTCTATGGGTGTCTTTAGCTCATTCTACAGTCGTGCCTATGGGTGCCTTTAGCTTTTCCTATGGTTCTCACTAGCTAGCTACAGAAGTCTATAGACCTTTTCATTTCAGTAGTTGCCTGACCGGCGGGTAGAGGGCGCTGACGCACTCGGCGCCATTAGGTTGCTTCAGTTCGGTCGGTTTCGGTTTCAACGTACACGCGAGTGTGATGCTGTTTCATGCCACTTTCGATTAATTTTGCGATATGAATTTTTTTCTAGTAGCACACAGCGAACGAAACAACAGTATTGAGCCACTTGGCAAACCACGAAGTGGTTTCGAGCCTAAATTGCGATCTTTTTTTTACTAACTTTATATGCGTCTGATTCCGTCCATCATTAATTGCGGTCAGGTTCGGCGGTGAAAAAATTGCGCTGATGCAAAGGGGAATTACCATTGTCCACAGCCGTACCCGCGGACACTAATTTCAAGAAGAAAAAAAATAAAGAGTAGGACAAGCTCCGCCTGCAGCGTGCGCTCGTTGCCCGCCGCCGTGCTTTGGCTGTGCGTGCACCGAGCGGTACGAAGGTAGATAGCTCGCGCTCAAGTCATATATTGAAATTGCAACAGACTATATTGCATCAGTGCTTAGTGAAAAATCAGGTCGACAACATGATTAACAATCTGCTGAATCACCAAGAACAGATGAACTGACAAGTTTACTGTTCGATGTTTGGTTTCCGTACACCAACCTTTTCTAACTTCGAGACTGGAAACGTCTTTTATAATGTCTAGAAAAGTTTAATATAATCACGTAGATAATATAAAAATGTGATATTGTCTCGGCCTGTTTTCTTTAAAGAAGTTAAGCGATCGAGAAATGTTTTGATAGACCAGCCTAGGCTGACTAGAAAAAAATTTTTTTTTTAAACTAAAGTACTCATTTACAGCATTTCAAAATATTGGCCTTATGAAATAAACATTTTGTTATATGGACATTTGCTTACGACGTTCTCAAGGTATGAGAATGGTGAGATAAGTGAATGCCAGTCTGTAAATAAAGTCTGACATCCATTTTTCCGTAAAATTTGCGGAATGAAATTGAAGAGCGCCAAAGAAATGATCTTTGATAAGTTAGGCTGAAGTCGAACGCCAGGCGCCACCCAATGGACCTTTGTAGAAAGCTGTTCACCGATTCCAAACGATGCGCATTGCACATTTTAACGTCGCCATCTACTGAAAGTAACTCCATATTCGAAGTCGACAACCGGCTGCACTCGGGTGATTTTGATGCAGAAGGATTCTTTTCGGTGTCACATTTTATGAATCATAGGCACTGTCAAGCTGTCTGTGGCAGTTTCTTACGCGGGGAGTTCAAATATTTGTGTTGAAATAAATTAATTGAAACTGCATGGTTATATTAAAAAATGACTTAAGCAACTGAAAGACTATGGACATGGGACCAAGCACGATAGACAATTCCGTGGAATTCATAAATAAACCGATAAAGCGAATGCTTATATCACACACGTGATTAAGAACGTAAAACAGATATAGGTGTGATATTGCGAACAAACAAGTTGCCTAATGTTAAGGTACCATTATTTCTAGCATAAAAGATAATTCAAACTAAATGTTTGTTCCCGCGGCTTGCCCACTAGTTCCCTAGTGTAATCAAAAGAAACTGTTTTCGTTCTGTTAGAACTACAAAACACCATGTTTTTAGGAAAAACACGTGCTAATTAAGCGGACTGGTTTTGTTTTCTTCCTTTACACCAATGCGCACTCATATATATAACAACATTCGGCTTCCTATTGCAAATGTTCCACCCTTCTTAGTAACCAAACCTCAGTTTTCATAAGTTATTGGTATTTGAACCCTCGAGGCTCTCTTCAAGTCATATATTTATTCAATGTGCGCAAGCGCTAATGCTGATTCCTGTTCCTATAAAACCTTTTCACACGCATCCCGCAAGCCGACAGTGAAAAATATTCAAAACGTGTTACAAAATCAACTACAGAAGTTGCGCGCATAATGATGTAATGCAATTGCATGGTAAGTATAAGTATCGGACGACACTTTACGGAGCAAGGCAAGAGACGCGGTGAAACGCGACGAAAAACACGAATTCAACGCATCCGCCAATGCGCGGACGGGAGAGCGGAGCAACAAGTTGAAGCAACCTAATGGCGGCCGCATCACGTGATTCCAAGATGGCAGCGCCCATGCGGCGGAGGGTGAAAAGGTCTATAGCTTTCTGAATGGTTTGCTAAAGACCCCTGTATAGCTTCCCCTTTGGGTTTCTTTAGCCAGCGTACTATAGCTTCCTCTCCCTTTGGTTTCTTTAGCCGGCTATAGGTCAATATATGGACGCCTATAGAGATTACTATGGCTTTCTCTATAGGTCTCTTTAGCAATCTTGTTATAGCTTCCCATAGCTTTTCCTTTGGTTTCTTTAGCCACCTATAGCTCGATGTATGGTCACCTATAGAGATTACTATGGCTTGCTCTATGGGTTCCTTTAGCCAGCTTGCTATAGCTTCTCATAGCTTTTCCTTTGGTTTCTGTAGCTCCCTGTATGGTCTGCTATAGATGTTCCTATGGCTTGCCCTATGGGTCTGTTTAGCCAGCCTGCTATAGCTTCTTATAGATTTCCCTTTGGTTTCTTTGGTTTTCTGTAGCTCCCTGTATGGTCTGCTATAGACATTTCTATGTCTTGCCCTATGGGTCTCTTTAGCCAGCTTGCTATGGCTTCTTATAGCTTTTCCTTTGGTTTCTTTAGTTTTCTGTAGCTCCCTGTATGGTCTGCTATAGATATTTCTATGTCTCGCCCTATGGGTCTCTTTAGCCAGCTTGCTATAGCTTCTTATAGCTTTTCCTTTGGTTTTTTTGGTTTTCTGTAGATCCCTGTATGGTCTGCTATAGATATTTCTATGTCTCGCCCTATGGGTCTCTTTAGCCAGCTTGCTATAGCTTCTTATAGCTTTTCCTTTGGTTTCTTTGGTTTTCTGTAGCTCCCTGTATGGTCTGCTATAGATATTTCTATGTCTCACCCTATGGGTCTCTTTAGCCAGCCTGCTATAGCTTCTTATAGATTTCCCTTTGGTTTCTTTGGTTTTCTGTAGCTCCCTGTATGGTCTGCTATAGACATTTCTATGTCTTGCCCTATGGGTCTCTTTAGCCAGCTTGCTATGGCTTCTTATAGCTTTTCCTTTGGTTTCTTTGGTTTTCTGTAGCTCCCTGTATGGTCTGCTATAGATATTTCTATGTCTCGCCCTATGGGTCTCTTTAGCCAGCTTGCTATGGCTTCTTATAGCTTTTCCTTTGGTTTCTTTGGTTTTCTGTAGCTCCCTGTATGGTCTGCTCTAGATATTACTATGTCTCGCCCTATGGGTCTCTTTAGCCAGCTTGCTATAGCTTCTTATAGCTTTTCCTTTGGTTTCTTTGGTTTTCTGTAGCTCCCTGTATGGTCTGCTATAGATATTTCTATGTCTCGCCCTATGGGTCTGTTTAGCCAGCCTGCTATAGCTTCTTATAGATTTCCCTTTGGTTTTTTTGGTTTTCTGTAGCTCCCTGTATGGTCTGCTATAGACATTCCTATGTCTTGCCCTATGGGTCTCTTTAGCCAGCTTGCTATGGCTTCTTATAGCTTTTCCTTTGGTTTCTTTGGTTTTCTGTAGCTCCCTGTATGGTCTGCTATAGATATTCCTATGGCTTGCCCTATGGGTCTGGTTAGCCAGCTTGCTATAGCTTCTTATAGCTTTCCCTTTGGTTTCTTTGGTTTTCTGTAGCTCCCTGTATGGCCTGCTATAGACATTTCTATGTCTTGCCCTATGGGTCTCTTTAGCCAGCTTGCTATGGCTTCTTATAGCTTTTCCTTTGGTTTTCTGTAGCTCTCTGTATGGTCTGCTATAGAGATTTCTATGGCTAGCCCAATGGGTCTCTTTAGTCAGCTTGCTATAGCTTCTTAGAACTTTTCCTTTGGTTTCTTTGGTTACTTGTAGCTCTCTGTATGGCCTGCTATAGATATTTCTATGGCTTGCTTTATGGGTCTGTTTAGCCAGTGTGCTATAGCTGCCTATAGGTTTGCCTTTGGCTTCTTTAGCCATCTATAGCTCCATGTATGGCCTGCTATAGATTTTTGTGGCTAGCCCAATGGGTCTCTTTAGCCAGCTTGCTATAGCTTCCTATAGCTTTACCTTTGGTCATCTGAAGCTCCCTGTATAGTCTGCTACAGATATTTATATGGCCTGCCCTATGGGTCTCTCTAGCCACTGCGCTATAGCTGCCTATATCTCCCTGTATAGTCTGCTATAGATACCTCTATGGTTTGCCCTATAGGTCTCTTTATACCACCATGCTATAGCGGCCTACAGCTTTTCCTTTGGTTTGTTTAGCTATCCATAGCTCTCTGTATGGTCTGCTATAAATATGTCTGTAGCTTGCATCATGGGTCTCTTTAACCAGTATGCTATTGCTTTTCCTTTGGTTTCCTTAGCCGCCTATCTCCCTGTATGGTCTGCTATAGCTATTTCTATGGTTTACTCTATGTGTGTCTATACAGCATGCTATAGCTGCCATCCTTCTTTTTTTCAGCTCTTTGCACAGGAGCCATATGGCTTGATCAATTTCTCCCTTTAGCAGGCATGCTCGTTTTTTTTTGTTTCTTTAGCTCTTAATAAAAAGGGATAATATACCAGCCTTTTATACCCGTGCTGGCCTGCTTTTTTGTAAAAGGCGCATTCATATATATGATAAACATGATAAAACATGAAAGCAACATTTCAATCACCTTTATTTTCTTGAAAGCAGTCGAAGCTCTCATGATGTGGATTTACTCAGGGCTGGACTCCTTCGTCTTGTTTAGCATAGACGACAGTGACGACCGCACTGTGGTTTCTTTCAAAAGGTGAAATTTCTTGCAGGTGTATTCTGAAAATGCAAAAATATAGATATGTTACCAATAGTGATATGACATAAAAAGGCTTGCTAATATCAGCAAGCATGTAACAAAATTTTAAGATAATGCTGTGTCAACAACAGTTTACAACTAGTTTAGGGCTCATTGACTCCTTCATTCTCAAATGGCAACTGCAAATTTGACCTAGAGACTTCTATGGAGCACAGTTTTTGATTACTATAAAAAACATTCCCTGCCTTTTGCACTTCTAAGTACCTCATCAGAGGTGACGCTGTGTAGCACAGCCCTTATAATGAGGACAAGTCTGCCCATTTTCGGCAAAGGCTTGTGATCTATTTTCTCATCTGGAGGCCAGATGCTATGACATGTTGTACCATACTGAGCTGTCCAAGTTATTGAGAATGGTTTAACAAAGATTAAAGCAAATAAAGATGATGTTTTGGGTGGATGGATGGATGGCAATGGCTATACCCTTTGTATCTTGTGCCAGCTTGCACTCCTAGTCCAACAATAATCCATTTTTAAATTTTGTGTAAATATTGTTCTAAAACAACCCTCCCCCTTTAAAGTGTTTCCAGTGCTTATTTTTACCTGCTTTTTTTCACCCCTCCCTAGATCTTTTCCACCAATCTTCCAATCTCCTCTTTGTTACCGCAATTCTCTCCCTATCCATTCCTCCATCCATGTCCACAAATCTCAGTGCTTCCTCCGAATCCATCATCATGTCACCCCCATAAGAAGATGGGACAAAGCCCCGTGCACTTTAAAATGACATGCTCCATAGGTCCCCTTTCTTTGTTGCATACGTAACATAGAGTGCTTATTCCCTGAAATTTAGCCCTATATTTTTTTGTTCTTAGCCCCGTCTCGCTTCAAATAGCAATGAGCTACCAGTGAATTTATCGTTCAACTGTCCCTTCATTTTAAATTTATAAGCACAATGTCGCCACATTTCGAGAAAATAGCTGTATTCCCGAATTAAGTTGAAAGTACAATAGAAGATGGAAGACAATGCTTCATATAATCGTGAAGTTCATTGATGGCACACATTTTGTTAAGTTTTACTATGTAACGTAAAAACGTTTTCATCTGACAATTTCAGAAAATTTTAAAGATGTTCTTGGCATGTTTAATTGTCATTTTACCATCAAAAGTCAGTCTAATCTTCTTAATACTTTGTGAGCTTAATGTCGTCAATTTGTATATTACAGCACAAAAGTTAAAAGGATGTGAATATGTTTGTCGAAAAATAACAGATACAAAATAACATCTGAAATAATGTCAGTTTTCACCCTAAGCTTCTCCATTTTAGATTTCTGCAAAAACTAAAATAACTACAGGTTTCATATCTAGCTGGCTGTTCCTTCAAGGATGTGGCTTGTTTATATATTTTTGACCAGAATAAAAAAGAAATATGACTCAAGCTATCATTGCTCGATATGACATGGAAAACCCAGTAGTTTTAAGGTGCTGCCCGAAAGGTCAAAATAAATTGCAGTGTAACATTGCTAGCCACTAGAAATTGGATAAAACAGAGCATTTAAGAACACTCAAAACAAACACTCAAACAAAAACATTCAAGTAGGATTTAAAAAAAATTGTATGTTGTCTTCAATGACTTTCTTCCAAACATGAAGTGTGCAGCATAGCTGACACGGCAACATAGCTGATATCAGCACTCTTTTAGGTTTCACTCAAACAAGGCAGTGGCAAACAATATTTCACCCCTTAAAATTGGTGCTCTAATTCACTAGGGACCTTGCACTGATGTCTTTAAGGCAGACATTGGTGGCCAAGTGCCTGGCAGCGTAGCCCCTACTGTGCTACTTCTACAAACAGGAAACGAGCATCGTGAGTGAGCTCAGCATCCACTGCATTAACAGCAGGTTTGAGACACCAGCAAGAAGGATGGAAGTGTGTCATGTGCAAGCCGCGTATAGACCCCACAACAATAATAACTTTTTTAAAGTTATTCTACACCGAAAGAAAATTTAGTAGAAACTGAATTTTTTTGTTTGTGGTAACTCTACTATCCTGGCCAATGTGAGATACAAGGAGCATTTGGCAGTGCCACCTGCCAAATGCTCCAAAAATTGAATGCATGCTGGGGACGAAGTTTGCATCCATTATGGCGAGCCACATTTTGACCGTCCGCTAATATCATCTGCTAGCATCTCGTGCATCCACTGTAATGGTTAATGGTCGGTGTTTTGCGCTGCCCAATATTTGAAGGGCGATTCAGCATGCCATGTCACATGCTTCTATGGAAGTGTTTGTGGGAGGTACCACAGAAGAAAAAGAAATTATATAGAACCACCTACTAACAATCTGAATTGACTTGGGATTCACATTCCGCATTTTCTGCATGACGAGCTACTGTTGTGGCGATATAAATATAAATTACGCTATGCAAAAACAAACGGCACTATGTATACTACCCTCTGGACACCGGGCGGAGCGGTGGACTCATGACGGTGCGGACGCCAGACGGCAGCCGCTATGATCTTAGATGAAGAGGGAGTTTGCTGAGGCGCAACAAACTCTCGTGCCCAGCATTTAAGCATCCGGCAGGTGGCGTTGGTAGTACCAGGGGCCATGCAACGTGGTGTTTTCCCATACTGGCCAGGATAAAACATTAGTTTAACGTAATTCTCTGTCTATGTCTGTGGCATTTTTGCATTGGACTCTGTGGAGTGAATAGTTGATGTGAAAGCAAGAACTCTGCCTGGCGGCTTTCACTCTGTGCGTGACTTTAGACACCTGACTGCAGGGTGTCGCGTGCAGAGCGAACGCCACCAGCTGAAATTCATTGCTTGTCCTTGAAATATTTGGAACAAAATTCCCGACTTTCGTTGATACCTGGATAAAGACGTACTATCGGGGAAAAATGAAATACAAACAGAGGAGCGCGTAGCTTGCGGTACAGGCCGCGCCGCCTGGGAGTGGGCCTGGGGGCGAGGGTGCGTGGCCTTCTCCGATGTGTATATGCCCCTCGCTTGCTGCTTCCAAGCTTCGGCATTGCGCCTATTAGTGCACTGAAAGCTATTACCACTATCTTTTCTCACTCGACGCGTGCGGCACAAGGAAGCTCACCACTAGTAGCAGGCAGCTAAAGCGCGTGCTGGCTGAGCGCGCGCTTTCAGCACACTAGAGGCGCAATGCCGGAGCTTGGGAAGAGCCGAGCGAGGGACATATACACATCGAGGCAGGCCACACACCCTTGCCCTAGGCTCACTTCCAGGCAGCGCAGCCTGTACCGCAAGCCACACTCTCCTCTGTTCGTATTTAATGTTCCCCTAACAATACATGTTGTTTCTGAAATGCAGGCCAAATCGCTCCTGCGAAAACTATGCGTCGCACAAAAGAAAGACTGATGTCGTGTTGATGTGCACCCAAGGGCCTATTTAGAAAAAACTTCCATGTTCAGAAAAATGAAGTTTTTACATACATATTTTTTTAGAAATCTGAAAACTTGCTGGGCAGAATCAAAAACACCCATATCAGTTTTTTTGGACAGGTATAAAGCACACCCCTCATTTCAAGTTTCGAAAAATTCTTCAATTCTGACGTATTCAAACACATCTTGGCAGCAGCCATCCTGCCCTGCCGCAGCAAAAGCGTGGAGCTGGAGTGTTTGACGTCTTTCAGTCACATTGCACTTTGAAACTCAAATCATTCTCAGCATGCTAGAAGTGAACCCAAAAGACAAAGCTCAATCTTGCAAATGCCATGTTCATTTGAAGAGCAAGCTGCAGCATTTCGCATGGACGTGCGCACGCACTACTCTTATCTTTTTTCTACGAGAGGAGAGGCAGGCCAAAGCGACATGGGCGAAGCACCTAGACTTAGTTCCCCGCTTCAACCGCAGGAGGGCAGGGCGGCTGCCGCCAAGGTGCGCGTGGATAAAAAAATAAAACCAGAGAATGCACCAAAACTGGGTTTTTCAAAACTTAGTAAAATGCTGCGCATGCTTTTTACCTGTTTAAAAGGAGATGACAAAGGGGCTTTCACTGATGCCCAGCAAGTTTCAAATTGAAACTATAACTTTGAAGTGAAGAAATAAAAGGTTACTTTCTGTAAAATTGAAAAAGAAAACTTAAATTTTCTTTATGTTTATCTTTTTTCTACTTGACATCAACCTTCTTTTCCGAGCGATGCAGTTTTCGTTGGAGCAATTTGGTCCGCATTTTAAAAAAAAAACACCTTGTATATGGAAACCTTCGCTAACTATGAAACAATGCAATATTTACTACTGTTCCACACGTCGAACAATCGCACGTAGAGCATAGTGCACGCTAATAGCGATAGCCTTCATATAGAAAACCACCCTACAGAAACTTGGTCATACTAGGGCAAATTTTGAAATAGGTGAGGCATTTTTTTACTGAATAAATAGTGGACTATCAATGCATGACTGATAGTTAAAAAGAAAGACAGGGAAAGTTTTGAGAATATGGTCATAAGGCTGCAAGGCAGTTGTATGGCACTTCTAAACATCTGGAAGGACTCTATATCAAAACTACATCCAGTTAGGCTTTCAATAGCTGCATCCAAGGAGACTTAACATCATATGGGCCAACATAGTCATTATTTATGTAGCTCATAATGTAAAAAAGTAGAACATCTTTTTCATCTACAGTAGTATCTGTCTAAATTGAACCCCAAAAAACCAGTCAAAACTGTTCCTCTTAGCAGAAGTACCAGTCATCAGAAGACAACACCACCACTTTGGAACCAACTCTGAACACATTGTACTAAAGTTAACCTCAGGATGTATGCAAAGTATAATCTTCTATTATCACAACCAATGCAAGGCCCCTCCAGTTACTTTTTGAGTGGTCGGAAACTTGCGACGAAACTGACATCGGACAATGTGGCAACTTGGAGAAACAATCGAGTTGGCAAAGTTCATGTTATTTTGGAAGTTATAAGCACATTAAAATCACTACAACCACGACGTACATGGCACTGCCCATGCTAGGCGCGAAGCAAGTGCACCCTCTCTGAAGACCCACACATACTGTTGTTCTACAGGGACTCTAGCCTTGGCAAGCTCCCCCCCCCCCCCCCCTTTTGAAGAGCAAGTGAGGGATGAGAGCTCAACCTGCTTTGAAAAGGCTGCCACTCCATGAGTTCCGCGAGACATGCTGTTCTTGCGCCGCTCCGCTTGGTTGCTGGCTCAATTTGAGGGGCTGTTACTTATTTAATTTTATCGCTCCCAAAGCTCAATAAAAAATACTTTTAAAAAGAATTGGAATGGAAACACAATCATACTTATGATTTCGTGTTCAGAAAGGAATATTAATGGCTCTGGCCAATCAGGAAGCCATGTAGGTTAATGTTATCAGCTGTGTGCGTTCAGCAGCACGCAGCACCAGCGTACGTCCAAGTGTTCTGTGCCATGTCAAGTTAAAATATGATACATTATTTTGTGGTTTGGTCTTTGTTCCTCGAGTCTCCCAAACCACTGACAAGACTGATAGCGAAACAAAGGCAGAAGCTAAAAATTACAAGGGGCCCTAAATATCATCTGAGAGGGCCCTTCCAACAATATTCAAGCATCTGCTTTTTTTTTTTTTTTGCACTCCCCGTCTTTTTAATGGTTTGGGTGACACGGGGAGCAAAGACTAAACCACAAAATAATAGTGTATTGTATTTTAGCTTGACAGGGCTCAGAACAATTGTATGCACAGCGGTGCTGCGTGGTGCCAAACGTGCATGGCTGACGACGTTAACTTACCTGGCTTCCTGATTGGCAAGAGTTACCAAAGGTTTACCTGTGAGCACAAAATAAGTATGATAGTGATCACCCTTCCAATTCTTTCTGAAAGTAGTTCTCATCAAGCTTTGAGAGCGATAAAAAAACAAACTAGAGTGAAAACTGTGGAAACAATGAGAACACCACCTATACCCGTTTTCACCCCAAGAACCATAAGAAATAAAGTCCTCGTCCACGCAGAGTGCTACTAATTTTCTCTATTATGTGGCGGATTGAGAAACGTTTATATTCACATAAGGTCTATTATTTGTTTTTCAACCCCTAAAATTTTAAAATGCAAAAACAAATTTTTTTGTTTTCTGACGACCATACTCTTAAAGAGACTACTTTGCACTGCACATGAACTATGCGCAAAACACTTTTTTCTTGAGGTAAAAACGAGTATAGTTGACACACCCCCGAGGAGCGGCTCCACGATCCCAACATTGAGGGATCTAATATGTCAGAGGTAGTACCTTTCTTGCTAGCTTTGGTCATTTTAATTTGCCCCCAACTTTTGAACTAATGCCAATTTTGTAAAAAAAAAAAAAAACAATTGTTCCTCCGTATAACTATGTCATCTGACCTCAGACTCGCTGCAAGTGTCAAACCAGCCAAAAAGTTGTTGCAGGGGCCCTGAGGAAATATTTTGCTACATGTCACTGGTCACTTTCCATGCTCAAAACCACAAAAAAGTAATACTCACTGACAACTGCGTTGACCCTAACAGGGTCCAACTGCGGCCTTGCCTCCTTCTCCTTGTGGGCGTTGGACTGCTTTCCTGTTATTGATTTCCCCAGCAGCTCTTCTGTGGTGAACACCTGCCTGAGAAGTTCTCGAGCATAAGTCGTTGCTGTTTTCGCCGGTCCTAGCTGTAGCATGTCAATCACGGCCTTGTTGACTTTATATCCTCCCAGGTCAACCTGCTCGTCGTCTTCCTGCTGCAAGTAATCAGAGTGAATGATGTTGTAAAAGTTCTCATTCAATTCAAAAGGTCTGATGAAAGTTACTCTTAAGACTACTATCATTGCCTGAGCGTCATGGTAGAGATGCATAGCTTCTAAGTTTTGTAAGTACCTGCCAAGTTCAGAGAAATCAAATCTCGGAAAACAGGGGGAAGGGGGGGGGAGGGGGACATTATCTCTTTTTTTTTTAGTTTGACGAGAAACCCCGTGAAGAGGCAGTCTGCGCGAATCACACTGTCTTCGCAGTTGTTTTGGCGTAAACTGCAAGTGGTGCCCTGCCCTTCTACGGCACGAGCATGGTTCTGATGCTTTCGTGAAGCGATGTGTATCTTGATGTCAAGCTTGCCGCCATGCGTAACGCTCACACATCATAGGCGCACATGGTACACAATCCATACTTGTCAGCTTTCCGCAAAGCAACAAAGCACGGCAACTCGGTCGCGTATGATCTCAGAAATACTTGCAAGTACTTCTCTCTGGCTTTTGAAAGTGCCATCGATCGTTCCAACAGATCAGTGGTTCCAACTAAACTCGGGGAAACACGAAGAGTAGTTCGGTGTTCCACACCTCACTCGACGACCTGACAAAGCCAACTGAAGCATAGCGCACCCATGGTCATATAAGCCGTGTTCCAATATGCGCTCTAACTTCAGGAGTAAAGGTTTGGTACCTTGGCGTTTGAATATCTACCCTCGTTTTACGCTACTGCTCCGAGTTGTTACGTGGTAACCCGCCGGAGTAACCTAAACCTGCTCTCGAGTAACTCGCAATGACACATGCGTGATGATTATAGCAATGAAACGACACAAAAAAAAAGAACTATGGCGGATACTTTTCGGGAGATTTTCCTGTCAATCGTACAACCCGGGAGAGTTGGCGGGTAATCCGGGAGAGTTGGCGGGTATGCCTGAAGCAATAAAAAAAAAAAAAATAAAACAGCCTGAATGAACAGGCACGTAAAAAGAGCTTGATTGGAGCAATATTTATGGTGCAATACTTTTCGTGTGCACCAAATGTCTCTGGTCCCAGAGATATCGGGACCCATTTTGTGCCAGTTGGTAGCTTCCCCTTAGCTGAAAGGTTAATGGACGTCTGTGATGTTGGGTACACAATCTGTGTATGCTGCCATAATCTTTTAAACTACATTTTTATGTTTAAGGTCCAACCCATCCAGTGAGTGCCATACTGTTCACAAGAGTATAACAGGAGTGTCACTTCCATTCCAAGTCATACTGTAACAAAAAAGGGCTGTGTTCCAAGACTTTCTCAATCCAGCTCTGCAGTAAAGATTTTGTGCCCTGGCATTTGAAAACCTGCACGAATCCAACGTTGCTCTATTCAGGTGACATAACCCAACAGAGTGACCCAGACTGCTCGAATGGGCCTTTAAACATAGCCAAGAACTTCGCCAGGCCTCGTTTGACCACCAACTGAGGTGTAGTCGGAGGTTGCTGCGGTCAGACATGAGGCTCTCGTACGGTGCGCAGCCGAGCAGCCAAGCCAAACCAACAGTGATGGGCGGGACTTACCTTTTTTCCGAATGGCTCGGAGAAGCGCAAGAGAGAAAAATGGAGAGGAGTACCACTCACTTTCAATTGCATCTTACGCCGCAAATACTGCTCCAATCAATTTTTTTTTTCACGGAAGATTATATATCTTTTGACATGCGAGGACAGTGAACTCGACACACAAAATCTGATCACCTAGGGGAGCACAAATTTCAGCCATGAGACAAGCCCATACACTGCCTCCAGAAAATGTGTTGATTGAGACTGCAAGTGTGATAAATTGTTGATAATAAACTGTACCAAGATGTCAGCCAGTGAAGAACTCTCATCCCACCCCCGCATGTGCCACAGGCCTAAATAGTGACTTTCTTTAGCTGAACAGAAAAAAAAAGGAATTCGGCATACAGTCTGAATCGAAAACACCGAATAATGAATGGAAGCTCATTTTGTGGGAACCCTATGTAGCCTCCTGAATCTGCCTTCAGCCAACAGTGAAAACTGCAGGCACTGCAACTGATTATGAACAGAAACTTCCAGGAGAAACTCTGAGTAGATTTACCAATTTGTCATCCCCTACCCATATTCAATATGGTCTTTGTACCCAGTAATTCATGAACTCCACCACAGAAACCGTCCTCCAATTATCCTGAACCAGTATACAATAGGTCCCAAGGAACTATTACCTGACAAGCGTTTGCAGACTGTTCAGCTTTTTCGGAATTTCTTGCTGCCCTGTCTTGCTGGAGCTCCTCCCGGAACCGAAGCAGTTCGCTAGCAGCAGTTTGCAGATCTGGGCAATGAAAATACATGAGTCAAACAAACAGTTTTTCTATTTTCTATTTCTGTTAGCATCACAACGTCAAGTTTCAAATAAAAGTAAACTATGATACTTATGACATAGCAAAAATAGTCAAAAGCAAAGTTTTTATTCTTTTTTTTTCTGGTTCAGAACATTCAAAAACGGGAACTTCTATTAGGACTTTTAATTTTGTCATTAGCTTACCAGACTTAGGGCCACTAGGAATAACATTGCTTGTGCAATTAGGCGGCTAATAACAAGGTATGCTTTATGTTTGAAATTAGTAAAAATAACCATTTATTTTGAATGCAACACTTGCTGGGCATCAGCAAAAGCCACTAAATCAGTCAACCTTCGAACCTAGTGAAAGAATGAACTGGCGACCCGCAACGTTGACGTTGTCATAGGGGCCTTTGTCAATTTTTAAGTAAGTGGATTGTGTCTTCTCACTGCACGTATTTCATATTATTGGCAGGAAAACACTATCTCACTAGCACAGACAATAAAGTGTTGCGAGATACATGCAAGTCGTTATGTCGTCGTTGTGCGTGAAGCTGTACATGTGAATGAGCCAATTTCGAGAAACTTCGAAGTCCAAAGCCGCTGCACATCGAAAAAATTGTGTGAACAGACAGTCAAACTGACACAGTGGCACTAGGGGGACCACCCCAGGTACAACACTCTAGGGAGTGTCGCGGCGGGCATAGAGGTCTTAGCGACGGGCAACGAGCAGAGGGAGGGAAGGGGGGGGGGGAGTGTCGCCACTGACCCAAGTGACGCCAGTGGACTGACAGATGAATCCACCAGACCCAGCAGACTGTGGTTGAACAACCAACAAGCTCGTCAGCGAATCGCAAATGATGGCTTCTTGAGCGGAGAGTAGCCGACCAGCCCTGCGTGAGCGATGGCATCCGCACAGGATGCCATCGCTCATGCGGGCCACTCGTCATTCGCCCACATCCAGCTGGATTACGTGGCACTATCTATAGGCCTGGATGTCGCAATCTTTGATCACAATTTCAGTACTGAAATAGGCCGCACATGATTATAATTTTTCGAATTGCGGCATACCTCGAGCATGTATATTGCCAGGTTGAGTCATAAATAGACGATCCCAAAACCCTCCATAGTGCCCCTTTGAATTGTCTTGCACCTGCCTCTAATGTAGTGATGCAAAACTATCGATAAAGCGACTATCGATACTATAGATAGTTTTGGAAAAACTATTGATAGTATCGCAGAACTATCGATAGTCGACTATTGATAGTACTATCGATAGTTTTTCGATAGTCGACTATCGATAATACTATGGATAGTTTTTCGATGGTCGACTATCGATAGCACTATCGATAGTTTTTTACTATCGATAGTCAGATTTCTGGCGAGTATCGATACTATCGATAGTTTTGCATTACTAGAGCGAACACAGTTGCCGCACCGCCGCTCGCTTCCCTTCGTCCTCTCTTCGCCCAAAATCCCGTCTTCGTCATCACTGAAAGCTGAGCCAAAGAAGTGTTTGGGCTAATTGGTGTCCCATTTGAAAACAAAAGAAGTGAAAGCAGTTTACAACTCCCTGTGACGCCGAATTAGAGCGCAGCCCTTGAAGAGGAGGAGGAAAGGATAATGGGGGTGGGTCAAGTGACCTACGGGGGGGGGGAAGGGACGCGTGACCTAGGAGGGTCACGTGACAATAACGATGCCATCATCAGTGACGTCACTGATGACGTCATCGGCATCGTCACGTGACCCTCCTAGGTCACGCGATCTGTGACGATGATTATGCGGATACCGATGACGTCATCAGTGACGATGACGTCATCGCAACGTCATCGTCATGAGTGATCATGACGATGACAATGCTGATGCCTGTGACGTCATCAGTGGCGTCATCAGTGACGATGACGTCATCGCATCGTCATCAGTGATGATGACGATGACGGTACGGATGCCGGTGATGTCATCACTAACGTCATCGAGGGTCACGTGACCTTGGGGGAGGGGTCACGTGACCACCCCAGGTCACGTGACCCAGAGGGGGTGGGGGACTCGCGCGGTGCATTATGGGACATTTCCCATAAACGCATAATGCACCGCGCGGTTACGCCGACGCCACTCAAGCCTGAAACGGGCCCCTAAGAGCAGCGCTCTAATAAAGCGAGAAAAAGAGAAGAGGGAGCAACGCTAACTACTAGTGTCGCAAAACTATCGATAGTGAACTGTCGGCAGTACTATCGATAGGTTTACGATAGCCGACTATCGATAGTTTTCCGATAGTCGATTAACGATAATTTTCCGATAGTCGACTATCGATAGAACTATCGATAGTTTTTCGACAGTCGACTATCGATAGTACTATTGACAGTTTTTCGATAGTGGACTATATATAGTACTATCGATAAAAACTATCGATAGTTTTTCGATAGTCGAATATCGATAGTACTATCGATAGTCGACTGTCGATAGTACTATTGATAGTTTTTCGATAGTTGACTGTCGATAGTACTATCGATAGTTTTGCATCACTACTATAATGTACTACCTTGATCGTACAGTCTCGCCATTAAACCAACTGATGACTGTCAGCCGAGGCCCTGTGGCCACGGAATGATGCAGCCTGCCGGGTGCTCATCAACCATATGTTTTTGAATGGCTGGTGCCATGCATTTACCTGTGTTGTGTCCTCACCTAAAGGGTATATCTTACACCTTGAGCATTATCCCAGGTCAGCTGAGTCAACCCAAGTTGGCAATTGCGATCTGCCACTAGCCTTACAACAGTTAAAAAAAACAGCCTGTATAACCAGGGTATTACTCACCTTCAATCCCATCTTTTTGTGAGGTTATGTAGTCGATGGTAGTCTTCAGTTTGTTGTTCTCTTCCTGAAGCTCGTGCATGTGACTCTTCAATGAGTTGTTCTCTACCTCCAGTACTTCGCAGTGCTTGCAAGTTTCCAACTGAAAAATAACCGTTGTATTGCTAAATTGTTGCAAAATTGCAAAATTCGTACGCCCTACTATCCTGCTAGACTGACTGTCTTTGCAATGACATATCTTGAAGTGGACAACCACAAATTATGAGGTCAAAATATTTGCTCCCAGCATATGCACAAGAGTGGCACAGTATGTGTCGGCAACCTCAAGTATAGTTTAGTGAAGTGCAGACTTCCACTACTTTTCGACCTCACATGTCAAGTTCAGCTTTTTTCTTTTCAAATGGACATTCAGGAGGTGCCCTTGAGCGTCTGTTTACTCTCTCTCTCAGGTGATCCGAGTTTTCAGAGGTCTTTGCTTTTATACAGCTCGAAACTTTTCCGATCAAAGTACTGAACATAGAAATATTTACCATTTGCATCCTACTGATTCTCAAAACTTCAACATAAGGCTCTTCATTCATTAAAATGAAATGCAAAAGAACAAAAAGTTCATAAAAGATTGATTGCAAAGCAGACTGCAAAAATATTTTCGAGTTTCCACAGGATTTGTCTAAAAATGTAGTCACCAACATTGTTTCCTATGACCTAAGGGCAGGGGTCTAAATTGATATTTAAGTAAGTTTATAAATTAACAGTCCACAGAAAGAATAAAGCAAACTTGGGACGATGGACGACAAACATTTCTTTCAACTCACAACAACATAAGATTACTGTTGCTGCAAGTTGAAAGAAATAATTGTCATTTATCGTCCCGAGTATGTTTTAATCTTTCTGTGGTCTGTGAATTTTACCAACACGCTCTTCGGTTAATTTGAATTGATAAATAAATTTTACCATGATTGCTGCAATGTCACATTGATAGGGCATCCAAGCTTCAGTTACGGCGTACAGCTTTTATTCACATTGAACTGGAGCAACAATATAAACACTTCTGTGCAGATGTGCATGGGTGCTGCTATTACTGACCTTCAGGTTTAATTTAAATCTATTTCACTCGCTACACTCCATCACTGTGGCCACATGACAAGCTGTATAGTTTGAAGACGTTCTGTGCTTTTTGACGTCGAGATGCTGCCGCGCTTGTGCATGGCTGAGAGCTGTGGCAACGACTTGGTCGACAGCACTATGCCGATCAACAAGTTTCCGAACGACAAAAAACTTCATGCCCTGTGGATCCAGCTGCACGTCTATCGCTTCCGATGTGGGTTCCGACGCCTGCTGCTCGCTTCCCGAAATTAACCCCTTAAAGGAGCGATGCAACAATTTTTGTACTTTGCGCAAATACCGCTTAAAACGGATCCTTAACGTTAATGACTTATGAAACACGCGTTCGTTTTTCACCCCACGCAATAGAAGTCCCAGAAAAAAATTAAAGACAAACGAGCAGCGTTCACCCCCTCAACTCGCAGCTAGTACAAGCGGCCACGTGATCTGAAGCCGATTATATGCCGCCAGTGTTGATCATAGCCACGCGCTGGGGTTGGCAAAGCGCAGGACACGCGCTGAGTTCCAGACATTGTTATGGCTCGGCTGTTGTCGTCGTTGCAGCGATTGGACACGGGTCACTACCCGAGGTAGCGATTACCACGAGCCCAAGTCGAGTGCCCACGCAATGCTCGGGACCAATCTATGAACCGCATTCAAACATCGTCACTTGGGTGTACTGCGATCCCCACGGTACGTCACCAAATTTCGCGAAGGAGAGATTGAATGAAAATGATCGCTTTTGTCCTTGAAATTACACCGCAACAAAGGAGTTTCTTGGCCAGTGGCGTTGCGTGCGAGTATCCTTGAGTCCCAGGTGTGCCAGTAAGCTCGTGTCAAGTGAAAAACATTTCAATTGAATATCGTTGCACAGCTCCTTTAAGTGCCTTAGACGAGCTGAGCTCGTCGGCCATTTTTAGGCTAAAAATGCCATGGACGAGCTCAGCTCGTCCAGTGGTTTCTTCGGCAGCCCTCAATTCTACGGACGAGCAAGGCTCGTCCGTGTAGTTTTGCTGTGGTGATGATAGAGGGCAGCATTTGTATTAGTTGGCAAATATTTTTTTTGCCTCCACAGATTTTTTTGTAATAAACTTTTCAAATTATGTGTAATACTAGAAAAATAAAAACTCAAAATAAAAAAAAATTTGGCACTTTTAGTGTACTTTCGGGAAAAAAATGTGGCACTTAAGGGGTTAATACAGAGAGGGCGGTATCCTCATCCTCACTTGTGTCGTTCAAGTCTATGTTCCCAAGGAATCGTCCTGAAGCGCCATTTCACGACGTGCACGACTGATCTCACACGTGAAACGCTCGTCACCCCACGGGTACCTCGGACGGCTCGGCCATAACATGCTTTCCGAAATTAAAACGGAGAGGGCAGTGTTGATGTCCTCATCTAGAGACTGCCGTGTTCATGTTAAGGCCCGTTCACACTCTTGCAACTAAGTACGACCGAGAGAGACCAGACCGGTTTTTAAGCCTTTTGCAACTTCTTAGGACCGGATGCGCCAGAGCGGAGCTGGTCCTAAGAGATCGCAAGAGGCTTAAAAACCAGTCTGGTCTCTCCCAGTCTTGCTCAGTCACAAGAGTGTGAACGGGCCTTTACTAGCGGAGACTTCACATGGGTCGAACTTTCGTCCGTTTGAGAGGTTAAACATCTCAGTGAGAGAAGGTGAGTTATGGCGGCTTTGAAAGGGTACGGAAACAGAAATGGAAATATTCAAATGTTGTTCGGAAATAAGTAAAGCATGACATATAATAACCGGAAATGATAATCGCATGTTCGTATTTTGAACGACTGGCTATATGTTTCGTTCGAAACGGTGCACTCGAGCAAGCGCTCGAAGAAAAGCGAACGGAGAGCGCGATGCGTCATGGGATATCCAGCGCAAACAAAAAAACAAACAAGATTCTCCCACATTTGTGACATAGCAAGGCTGGCGTGGTTATGAGCTTTGCCGTTGGTGGCATTGTCAGCGTTGTGGTGGCGTCAACAGCGTCCACATGTTACAACCGAGCCGTTCGAAGTACTCGTGGGGTGACGAGCGTTTCAAGTACGAGGTCAGTCGTGCGTGTCGTGTTTCTGTGGCCCACTCCAATGGCGCTTCAGGACAATATCCTTGGGAACATAAACTTGAACGACACAAGTGAGGATGAGGACACCGGCACCACCCGCTCCGTATTCATTTCGGAAAGCGAGCAGCAGGCATCAGAACCCACGTCGGAAACAATGGACGTGCAACCGGATCCGCAGGGCCCGAAGTTTCTCGTCGTTCGGAAACTTGTTGATCGGCATATCGTTGTCGACCAAGTCGTTACCACAGTTCTCAGCCATGCAGAAGCACAGCAGCATCTCGACGTCAATAAGCGCTGAACAGCTTCGAACTGTACAGCGAAGTCACAGGATCAACTCTGTGACATTCCTCAATGAGTCCATCATGGCATCTCGTTGGCTTCCTTTGCAAAGGGACAAAGCGCACGGATCAACTTTGGCATGAGCAAAGGATTTGCAATCACGTTCAGGCCGAGGTCATTTAAAACAGTTGAGCATACTTCCAAAGGGCAGCGCCGCTCCGATGTTTAGTACTGCTACGTAACGATTCCTGCCATGTCATGACTATGTAGCAAGATTCCCGACGTAGCTAGATTACCTCTTAACTAAGCTTTACAGGGATCCACCAGGTGCATATTGAAAGATCGCTTAATTAGCTTTAAATTTTGTTTTCTTGGGCCTTCCAACGAAAGATTGGTGTTTTTGAGGCTGGGTGCAACATGCAACAGATTTAAGCTAGAAAATGCGCGCTGGAATTTCATTTCCGTACCCCATTAATCTGGCGCGTGCTAAAAGCATCTATACTAAATAAAAACTCAAAATGTCTTGTGCAGAAATAATTTGCGAGCTCTGTTAAACTTCCTTTTTTTTTTTTAAGCGTAGAAACAGTAATTAGGTACGCCAGTTTGGATTAGAAACAGCACACACCCTTCAAATAGTCCTAAAATAGCATTCCTCGGCTGAAGCTCGTTGCCGCCACAAATATCTGACACATATCATGACGGGCACACGTACCTGGTCGCCGTCTTCCGACGCCCCATTAGAAGATGCTTCTTTCACCTCCTTGTTTTTCGTTATTTGCTGACACCGCTTTTCCATTTGTGCGGCGCTCCCTGTTCAGAAACGACAGTTGCGAAATCGAAGGCGGGCAAATCACGCATTGAAAATAACGCTGGGTTCTTCTCAAACCGAGAGCATCGAAGCAAGCTTACCGACAGCCTCGATCCTTGCCGGGTGTTTCTCGCCCTTCCAACGTATCAGTACGTCGGTTGCAAACACGCTTGGATCTTTGCTATTGTGAATTATAAGCGCCCCGATTTTTGTGTCAACGATGTCCCTTATGCTCACAACGTCAAAAAGGCGGGTCCTGCCCGTATTTAGCCATCTTATTAGGACGTGACTCATGATTGAAAAAACAGTAAAACACCTAATGGACTATAAACCAAAAACCAACGTGGTCGCAACGTAACAAAAGAAGCAAAGCAGAAAGACAGGAGAGCGCACGTGTGCAAAGCTGGATTGAACTGGATTGGATTAGATGCGACTTCAGCGGTATTTGGACACCAGTGTTGACAGACGACAATTGTTTTAAAGTAAATGTAAATGCAATAAGCTATTCGCGCAGCAACTACTTATTCCATTATATATTTAGTAGGTAACTCACTAAAAAAATGTACTTAGAATACGCAAACATTCTCAAGGTGCAGGCGAGCTGGTGTATGTGAACCATGATGTTAAAATCCTAAAACTGGGAAAGAAATTTAAAAGAAATAGTGCAAGGAGACACAGAAAAACGGGGACAGGACAATCGTCTAGCTAACAAAATTTATTCCGTCCACAGCTTTTATAGCCAACTCCCAAGGTCACCGCCAACTCACACCGATAGACTTCTCCCCTTTTCTGTGTCTTCTTACACTTTTTCTTTCAAGTTACCTTCCCAGTCTCAGGATTTTAACTGCAATACGCGTTGAAAGCAAACGGACAAACGTGCTTTGTTCGTTGTCTGGCGGGAGAGCCGGAACCGGGCACGTTAACCTCTTTTCGGGGCATCTGGAAATGTAAAGTAGGGATGTTTCTGTAGTAACGGAAGGCACTCATTTTGGTTCTAATGGATGTCTTTGAACGGTTTGGAATCCCTAACGTGCTAATCTCTGACCAAGGACTTCCCTTTGATTCAGTCATATTCAGAGCACTAGTGCAAGAATGAAACATTATTCACGAGCCATTATCACCACCTTACCCCAGATCTCTTAAATCCATGCTCGCTAAGTCGCGCAGCGATGGTAAGGATCTTGCTCAACTACCGCTCCACCCCTAACATCGGATCTGTTTTTTAAGCAGAGCTACTGATGGGCAGGGAGCTAAGAACATTCATCTCTGCCCTACCTCAAAGCTTGGAACCAATATTTCCTACTCATGCTCACAAGAAGCTTCTCAGAGACATCAGGAACAGCACAAGTATAAAGACTGCCACACCCAGGCTCTCTTGGCTCTCGCAAAGGACCAGCCTGTTTGGTTTAGGTAAGTTCGGTGTGTATACCAGATGCATGGGCCTCCGCCTTTCCACCGAACTAGCACGCCTGACGCATTCCCATTATTTTCTTATTTCAAGTGCAATAAAGTATGAAGTTGAAAAAGAGCACCTGGCAAAAGGCAGTCATAATACAATTTGGTTTCGAACCGAGGCGCTACAGTGCAAACTCCTAGCGGCGGTGTGTACGTCAGGAACCACTATCACCTCAGACCATCCTCAGACCCCTTAGTCCAAGGGCTGAAGATGGCGGCAGCTCAGCAGAAGAGTACTTTCCTGACGAACCAGGAATCCAAGAAATGGTCAGGCTCGTCCAGGTGTGACACGTTCAGGACGATATCACACGTAAACCGGCAAGAAGACTGAACATCTTGCGGTGTTTTTTTTTTTTTTTTTTTTTTTTTTTTTTAAGGGCGTGTTTTGTATAGACGTTTCCAATGTTTACAAGATCACAGTCCAGCGTGCGATCTTCACAGCCCAGCACGCGCGTGTTCGTCGCTTCGGAAAGCGAGCAAAGCACGCGCCATACGCACGAACACTCAAAATGGCACCGGCCACACGCTCTTTTTTGGAAAGGTCTATTGATTTGGATGTTCCTAACGCCGTGTGCGTTGTCGGAAATATCCCCAAGAAAAGGTCAGCCCCACCAGAGCTTGACACGCGTCCATGCGGCCACACCACGCGCTTACCTTCGCAACCAACGAGTCTTTGTGACATTCCTTCCAGAAAACAACATATCAGGCACTTTTTGTGATGAGGTTAAAGAGAGCCGAGTCAGTGAGCTCCAAACAAAGGTACTCATTGGAGCTCCGAACGTGGGCGTTGGCTAAAATGTCATTCGATCAAGTGAGTGCCTCCCGGTTCGCCCTACGCCCAGTCGGCCATCTTTCATGTATCCATTAATCCAGCACAAAGCTGCGCGCCGCGGAGGCGCAGTGGGCACGAGGAGCTGGCGAACCTGGCAGAGCGAGCTGTCGACGAAACGTCGCAACGTCTGTCGATGAAACGAGTGGGCGCTCGTTTCCACGAAACGATCTGTCGATGAAACATCGCACTGTCGACGAAACATTTTGTCCATGACGAACTGATTGCCACCGTAGCAGGCTTGCCAAAACCACGTTCACGCGCACGCTGCACATGTTTGCACGCACGGGGCATCAATGCTCAGTCAGATAGATGCGGGTAGGGGTGGGGATTGAACCTGTTTCTGCAGCGCAAGAATTCGCTCTCACCCCCTGAGTACAGTGTACCCTGAGCGTCACGCGACCGATGACTCGGCCCCAAATTTTTCTTTTATCACCTAAACCTAAATCTACACAAGAGAGCCCGCGTGGCTGCGGTGCACGTAAGCACCTGCAGTGCACGCATCGTTCAGAACAGCATTCGCACATGTAATGTAGCCACATAGCTTAGACCTTGAGGAGGTGGAGCGAAAGCAAGCGCCGTGTAAACGGCGGAAGCAGATATAATATGATTCTATCATTTAATTTTATATCGAATAGGAAACGAATTTTAGGCCAACACTTTAAGAAGAAGGATAGAAAACAGGCTAGGTGGCGCAAGCTACCGGATTTATTTAGATTCACTCAGAGTTCTGGATTTGTGGCACAAAAATGGCTAAGCGAAGATTATATACATAAAAAAAGAACAAAAAAAACGTCTCGGGTTAAGGCACTGGGTTAAGGACGCCGTAGTTAAGGGCCAATCTTGTTTCGGGAAAGTTTCAGGCCGACGATCTCGTCGAGCTTTGAAAGGGGACGCCAGAGAATCCAAATCCCTATCCATAGTTTTGTTACTCGCCATCGTTCGCGGCCGCAGCAGCCGCAGCTCGCATCGGCGTCGCCGGTGGAACGTCACTACTGATACAGAGCTCTGTTGGCTCTGTGAAGACGATCATGAGTCGACGGCACGCATGTTTCGAAACCTTAACGTCTACACCATCAGGTTGATAAAACGATCCCTGTGTATTTAACACAAGCGTGCTATAGCTGCGCCTGAGCTTCACTTTGAAAAAGTGGCCTCGGGGTTCGTCGGCATCGTTGGTTTTCACAGCTTGCCTAACGGTGAGTGCGCATTTCTCTCACTGCTATTTCCAAAACTGGTTGTGTTCTACAGGGAGTTTGTGAGAAACCCGGACCGTGTTTTTCGCGCTGCAAAATTTAACTAAACATTGTGAATATTTCGCACACTGCCAGAACGTAGCCCTAGCGGTTGGAGCAAGACGCCGACATAGCGTCAGCGAAGTAATGAGCAGCTGTCGAAAAATTTCAATCAGAAAATAGGCGTTCGTTCGCGCGACTCCGTCTGCCGCAAGTTTCACGTTGAAAATTTGGAATAAAATGGCTGAACCTTCGAAATCGACGACGCTACGTTTTGAAACTTCTGCATGTTGCTTCAACCGCTAGGGCTGCGTTCTGTTGTCGTTGGAGCTAAAGCCCCTTGATGAAGGCCTTTTTTTACAAGTACCGCCAACCCTTGTTGTGGAAACGCGCGAGACACGTGCCGCGAGCGCGTGCTCCGCCGCCATTCGCTTCCAAGGGCCGCTCATTTCAGTGCTGCACCGCCATTTGCTTCCAAGGGCCGCTCGAGACATGGGGCTCGTGCGCTCGCGCATTTGACGCTACTTGCAAGACACGCAATCACATCGAGGGGCTTTAGTTTGAGCTCGCTCTGATGTCTGGCTTATTTTCACGTTGCGAAAGACACCGCTCGGTTTTATTGCAAGCAACCTGCTATTTTGTTGAACGTGTGAATCGGAATTTGATGAATGGCATGTTGCTTGTTTTATGCCTATCAGAGTACTGGGGGTCTATGTTGCACATTTTGGGCTCCCAGGAGACTAGGGAGAAGGAAGTGACGTCAACGACACAGCAAACGCAGATTGAATGTTGACAGAAGAAAACAAATTCAACATCCAATCTGCATTTGCTGCGTCGTTGACGTCACTTCCATCTCCCTGGCCTCCTGGGAGTCCAAAACGTGCAACATAGCCCCCCTGGGGGGGTTATGTTCGACAAATGTTTTATTTCTCCTAAAAAGAAACGGAAGAGACGATATCGCGTCTGATTGGTTAGAGGCTCCAATGACGAAAGAGTTAACTTTTGTCATTTGAGTCTCTAGCCAATCAGACACGATATCGTCACTTCCGTTTCTTTTTAGCAGAAACAAAACATTTGTCGAACATAGCCACCCTGCTCGCCATCAAAAACACCGACATTGTTTCCTGACAGTCAGTTCATCGAACAACGTTTCACTCACAGGTCATTTGGTCGACACTGCAATGTTTGATTGATAAATAGTTTGGTCAAAACGTTCTTGTGTTCCTTTAGTCGACATAGCTTGCGACGTTTGGTCGACACATTTTTTTCATTACACACTGCCTAAAAGAATTTCAAAAATAATTGTCACGCCCTATCTGGCACGTAATCTTGGCGGTGCATGTAGGCTGCCCCGTGCATGTCTAGATTTAGGCATTGCGGCTATACTCGTTTGCAGGTACGGTCTTGGGG